TTACTCATTTAAGTATTATTTGTCAAAAATACTCTATATCAAGATTTTGAGACGTGTAGTACTAGTGCCCATGCAGGCAAGTAGTATCATTTTTGCGGCCAGTCGTAAAAAATGACTAATTTAAAAAAATTAATTATCATGATTTAACTTTGCTTCAACAAAAACTAAGGGATCAACGGCCGACATTTTCAATGGTAAAATATTAATTTTGGTAAAAAAGGCCAGCTTCATTCCCTGTACTGATTTACTAATAGTATATGTGCCTAGAACTTCTGAATGTTAAACGTTGAGGTTGATACCCTCGATAGCAACATACAAAGTATACAAATACATTATCCGTCTGTTATACAATCATTATGACATTATAACACTTATCTAAATACCTAAATAAATTAGGTTTCAACCATACAACTACAATAGCTTCCAACCATACAACTACATTAGCTGTCAACCATACAACTACACTCTCTGCCAACAATTCAACTACATTAGGTTTAAACCATACAACTACATTAGCTTTCAACCATTCAACTATACATTAGCTTTCAACAATTCAACTACATTAACTTTCATGCAACCATACAGCTATACTAAATTTCAACCATATAACTATTTATCGAGTAAACAGTTAATAGAGATTAAAAAGAGATGAACATTTATGATTTCTTACCACATACTATGATTGCATATATTTTATATTAGTCTGTCATATTTTTAGACCTTTTTAATAAACTAACTGTAATTAAAAACAGGATTGTTTTCATTGTGTGTTCTAACTACGAAACACAATTAAAATGGTTCCTATGTTGTTAATCCAGTGTAAAGGAAAATCTCAGGTGATAAACCGATTCCAAAATAGTCTTGTTGGAGGGGTTTCTGTTGTAATATGTATTAATTAAAATCCGTTTGGGTTTTATACGGACGATACGTTTACAACATGTGTCAGAGTTCGTCGCCCATTGATGGATACTTATTTATTCAACCTGTCAAAATACCTAACAATATAAGCTGCATTCAACCGGGCAGTTATATACTCAGCTGCAAATAGATTAACCTTGATCTGTAAGCTAAAATATACGTAGCTCCAATGTTGCAGTTATTGTATGCTATACACTTTGTAGTACTATATCATAAAAGTCCCGACTCAATCAAAGATGAACGAAGAAAAAGAGTTGAAGGTTTATGACAGACACATATAATTGTGTGGCTTGCACAGTGTTGTACACTTAAGCTGGGGCTTTTGCTGAAGTTAAAGGACACATTAATTAACACAACGTGGCCATTTACTTTCCTCTCTAGCCGTTCACATCAGAATTAATATATCGTTTAGGGGATTCTAGTTGTAATTATGTGAAGAATTAACAAGAGCCTACTGAGCTCACCTGAGTCAATCTGAAATAGGGTTACTAAGTCCTGGGGGAATAAAAAAGAAAGAATTACCCTATTGTTACCTCCCTTACTAATCTAGCAATACACCATAATCACTATATACAGTGTATGGAGTTTATGTCTCCCATTTGATTGGACAAACATGGGAACTTCTACTTGAACAATATAAAAAACAAGGCAAACTATTGACAAAAAAGGTGATGATACAAGGATATCAACAGTCCTGTTTACAGCCAAAATTTCATGTTTACATTTTAAAAATATTTTCCCTTATGACACTTTGCAAATTAGAAGACTTCATTTTCTCATGTACTAACATGGATTAGTATGAATACATGTATCTCCACGTCATAATACTTGACGTCAAAACTATAGTGCAAACTGTTTTGCTTAAAAAAGACAGATGCATGGCGTAAATTGTGGCGACTCATAAAAAATGTAAATATAAGAAATAATATAAATACATGTTGTATAAGAAATGAATTTAATTTTTGAAGATTCATGAGGAACATGAACTACAACGCTTCACGTCTGCATATTTCAAGTGTTGTAGTTCATGTCCTCAAGAAACTTCAAGAAATAAATTCATTTCCTGTATATAAACCCTAACTTTGTTGTTAATTGCAATATAAGATTAAGTCGAGTGATAGCTGACGTGTTAAACAAATTGATAGACCATTAATTTCACACTGAATTGTCTAGGATTTCCCCCTTACCCGACTGGATTCATGACAAGGAGTATACGGACGGGTGTGATCGGACGACAGAGGAATACTCCTCCAGATCACTTGATTCCACCTTCCATGATTTTGGACATATGCTCTGCTCTCAGTTTGTATTGTTCCATTGATGTTTTTGTTTGATGGCTGTTCTTTATTTCCAAACATCATTCCGTCGCCAGGGTCCTTAAATAATAACCCATATATTGAAAATTCATTGAAATGGGCGCAATTTTTCACATGAGCTGACGACGTTAACACATTTCAGAATTTGACGGTATACTCCAATGATTTCTGAAAAGGTTTTCATGGTTGTGTGCATTTTTTTTACTTGAAACCTGGCACACATAAAAGCAGAAACCGCTTATAAAAGTAAAATAACTTGTTTTTGTTGGACATCTTTAAAAGAAATCACTGCAAAATACAACATTAATTTCTGTTTAACACAGCGTGTAGCTCAGTTGTGACCCTAGTTTCTTTAAAGTGTAAACAGGGTGGAGGATGAATTACTTTTTATTTTTTCTCCAATAGCTTGAATAACATCAGTAGGTTACCCCTTCTTTACAAAGATGCAGTGCTAATCAGGCTGTACATTTCCATCAGAAAAAGGTCAGGTATGTAAATGTCTAAGTGTCACTAACGTATGTAAAATCGAGGAACCTCCCTCTTAAAAAATTAAGAAATGCTAACATTTTTGTAAAGATAAGTTTTATAAACTTATGAAATATTTCTGTGTTTGTTATGAAGAATGACATCCATGAACAAGTTTAGAACAGAAGAGGTTAAATGTACTTGTCCATGAGAGCGAGGGGGGTCTAAATCCTAGGGGAAATGCTTCTTTAGATTCGTACTTAAAAGAAACAAGAAGAAAGGCAAAATTGCACTGTGGTAAAATACGCCATTGACGTAATTTTTAACATAATGCAAGAAATTACAGTTTTTATTAACGAATATTCTTAAATAAGGTGAGATTAAAGAATGTTTTCCAGAGAATGTTAAATCTGAAAAAGATAATGACAAAATAAATCCATGTACTACAAAATATACATGTATATGAATTTTTAAAGAAACTAAATGCAAACGAATAGCTCTGTTAAATAAATTCTATAAAATGAATCTCTGCATCAAGAAATACTACATGTAGTCCCAAATATGTTACATATCTATTGTGTAGGAAATTAACATAGAGTATTTACTGAAATACGAGACTTTGACCCATGCGTGCACGGGCGTGCACGGGTTAACAATGTTGTGAATGCATCCATGTGCATATTGGACATTTACAAAATAGATTCATCGACACATTCATATTGTAAGATACCACCGAAATAAACAATGAGTGTCAGTATAATTCTGGTTGTTGTTTTTTTTTTTTTTTTTTTTTTTTTTTGAGGGGGGGGGGGGGGTTACCAGTATATTTTATTTATATTTCTGTTGTAAAATTGTTGCGTAGTGCAGCATGGGTTTAACAACCCCCAACCCCCACCCCCAGTTAGCTATAAATGAAGTCGTGAGTTCAAATCACGCCAAAGCTTACATAAATTTCAGCTTTTAAGAAAAGAAATTATGGATATTTATTGAATATATGACAACAGAAAAGAATTAAGCACTTCTGATACATATCAAGCAAAGTAATGAAAATGAAGAATTGTGCTAAGCTGGTATTTTTACACAATCAGTTATTAAACTAAAGCTGTAACACTTTTAACACTACAAGTACGCAGTCACGTATAATGTGGGAAAGCAGGTTGGCTCCCTCCCCACTTTTGTAAGAATAAGTTTCAAATAAGGGAAACTTAGTAAAGTGGGGAAAAATTGGTACTGAAAGAAGTTGCACCAATGTGTCTAAAAACGATTCAAAGAAAACAAGCACACATGTACCTCATACTTGCCTACATTATCTAATGGAGACTTGGGAAAATGTTTTACCTCAGTAATCTAGTACTGTTTTGTTGTTCTTGAACTGTCAATTTATGCCTTAGAGGGTGTGCTTAAATATTATTTTCATAAGAAGCAAATGATTGTGAAACAAATACATCTTCTATTGAATTTCCAATAAGAGTCAAACAGGCTGGGGGACAATGGCCGTTTGTATTGTTCATCACTCGGAGCTCCTCGGGTGGCTCGTACCTCGCACACTAAGGTGTTCTACCATCTTGCTGAGTCAGTCATGTGATTTCATTTGAATTTCATTCAAATGTTATACTTTTGAAATTCGAGTTACTTTGTTGCACGTTCAACACCGCGTTCTTGCTTTTAAAGACTATTAACATATGGTTATTACACAAATAAAGAAACCCTTTCGAAGAACTTTAGGCGCAGCAGAATATGAAATGAGTGACAAGGCAGTTTTCGGCGGAGAGATGTATCGACTTGATGCGTATTAATTACACCACCTATCACATCCGAGGTCTTAATGGAGCGTAGCAGAGTCAATCGGCAATCCTCGGCTGACTCCGCTACATGTACGCTCCATTCAAACCTCGGATGTGACTAGTGGAGGAATACGCATCAGATTCTTACATTTTTCCGCCGGAAACTGCCTTGTCACTCATTTCATATTTCGCTCTGCATAACGTTCTTCGAAAATGTTTCTTAATTTGTGCAATTCTTTATCGTAAACAGGTTTTGATTACAGCCTCATGTTAGTAGGCTTTGAAATCAAGAACTAACTGTTGAGTGTGCCACAAAATAACTTCGATTTCAAATGTATTACATTTGAAAGAAATTCAAATAAGATCACATGACTAAATCAGCAAGATGGTAGAACACCTTTGACGTTCGAGGTTATTTGCTAGGTACGAGTCATCCGAGGAACTCCGAATGTAGCGGAGTCAGCCGAGGATTGCCGATTGATTGTTAATCCTCCTTTGTTATTTACAGACCGAGCCCGACATGAAGACAGTCAGCGAGTACCTAGAGAGCGTGCTCCAGGAGACGGGTGGATTTGGTAAGTTCCAGGTTCTCCTGTATGGCAGCATGCTCTTCAGCAAAGTGTCTATTACTTGGAGTCTCCTCATCATGGCGTTCGCTGGGGCTGCTCCTGATTGGTGGTGTGTCTACTCCAACACGACCGATGTCCATTCTACCGTGAACTACAGCAGCATATCGAACACGACCATGACGTCACCGGCCCATGACGTGTTTCTAGCGTCTAAAACATGCTCACCATCTATAAACGGATCAAGCTGCCAAGCCTTCCTATTCGACGACAGCATGAGGACAATCATCAGCGAGGTTGATTCTCTTTTCAAAACGATTAAAATACAGTCATTAATTCTTAAACGAAATGTCAAATCTGTACTGTCCTAATTATAGATCAGATTTATGCATGCGTGTGTCATGAGTTTGTTGGAATCAGTAATTCATTGTTTTTATTATATGTTTGTTTGGAACTGTACACAGAATGCACACACAACAGAACAGAATTATGATAACAATTTGATCACGGGATATATTTTGTACAAATTTTGATTTTATAAGCATTCCATTTTGAAATGATCTAGAGAGCATCTAAAATTTCAAATAGCGTGGTAATAAGCGATCAACCTTCTTTTGCAATGTAACAGACAGATCTATATTGAATTCATTTGCAGGAGCAGATTGAGGCAAAATCAATCCTTCACAACTTTCAATAATTGTTGTATGTGTCATAGTGCAAAGGTGTAAAGAAGGCTGTCAAGTTTCAACTTTTTCATCTTTAATCAATTTCATCAATAAGCTTTAAGAGATTCGAATCGTTAGGTTGTTTTTCATATCGTAGCATGCTCAAATATTTTTCAGTGGGGATTGATCTGCGACAAAAAATGGGTGACAGCAACCGTTTCTTCGGTACAAATGGCGGGTCTTCTCATTTCCGGTTTTCTAGGCGGACAGTTGGCGGATCTGCTCGGGCGGAAGATGACATTTTTCGTGTCGCTTTTCATTTTATCTGCCTCAAATATTGTGGCTGGATTTTCCCAGTCTTGGTTGATGTTTGCTGTAATCCGCTTTTTTATCGGAGTAGGATGTGGGGTGTACCTCACCGTAGTCTACACATTCTCTGTAGAGTTCACACCAACTAAATTCCGTCCCATCCAGTTTTGTATTCCTGATGTGTCAATCTGGGCCGCCTTGTTGGGGCTTTGCTCCTATCTGTTGAAAGACTGCAGTAGTTTACATATTCTTACCGGAGTTTTCACTGGTCTCAGTCTTTTGTCGTGGTGGTGAGTCCGTGATTTTTATGCCCCCGGATCGAAAGATCGGGGGTATATTGTTTTTGTCCTGTCTGTCTGTCTGTCTGTCTGTCTGTCTGTCCGTCTGTCTGTCTGTCTGTCTGTTTGTTTGTCCCCCAACTTTAACCTAGCCCATAACTATTGAGTGGTTGGGGCTATGGCTTTCATATTTCATAGGTGTGTTACTTGTGACATGACCTTTCTTTGGGTACCACCAAATTTGACCTCTTGACCTTGACCTGGGAGATTGACCTACTTTTACAAAAAAATACCAGAGTTTAACCTTGGCCATAACTTTTAAACAGTTGAAGTTAGGGCTTTCATCCTTCACATGTATATTCATTTTGACAAGACCTTTCAGACGGTAGAAATATTTTTGACCTTTTGACCTTGACGTAAGAGTTTGACCCACTTCTTAAAAACATTAACATTGGTCATAACTTTTGAACAGTTTAAAGTGGGGCTTTTATATTTCACAGGTGTAATTCTTGTAACAAGACCTTTCTCTGGGTACCACCATATTTGACCTCTTGACCTTGGAGTTTGACCTACTTTTACAAAAAAAAAAAAATACCAGACTGCCCAACTCAAAATTGTGTTACCACCGGGGGCATAGTGTTTCACAAACACATCTTGTTTAAAAATATGTAAAACTTGTTGCAAGTATATAATTCATGTTCTTACTGTGAATTCATATGTTGAGATTAATTCATAATTTTACAACGTGAGAAAAAGATAGATTTACAGACGTAATTTCTAATGAAAATTGTATAATTTATGATATTTAGAAAAGAGTCTTTTAATGTATTTTACTTTTCATTTCAACTCACAGGATTGTTCCAGAGAGTTTCCGATGGTTAGTGTCACATGACAAATTGGCCGAGGCAGATAGTGTTATCAAGAAAATTGCTCACATGAACAACCATCCCAAACCCGATCTTAATAAACTCCAAGCTGTCCTTGAGTCGGATAGCACGTTTCAAGGAGACAGAAAATATACATTTTTGGAATTATTCCGAAATCGAACGCTTTTGATTAACACTGCATTTGCTGGCGTCGCTTGGTAAGTTGCCCCTTGACTGCTTGGAAATAGAGATAACTTATGCTTCAATGTAAAATTGATAAAAGTAATGAACAATCTAGAATTTTTCAATAAATAAATTCTTGAGATAGCGAACGCTGTCCGTTCTCCCGAATCTTGCAAACAATACGAAACATAAAACACGGGACCCTGGAAACGTCAAAAATACTAATTTGGTGGACCAACTTCCTCAGTCTTACAATTAAAATATTGTTACAACTGAGCAATACAAATTTAATTTTTTATAATTCAAAGGCAGAGGTATATTCCTAATTTATTTCTATACATAATCTTGCAGGTTCTCCTGTGGTTATGCCTACTATGCCATTTCCTATAGTGTGGACCAACTCTCAGGAAATCTCTACCTCAACATGTTTCTTCTTAGTGTCATCGACATTCCCGCTCTTATGAGCATTTGGTACCTCAGTAACCGGTACGTGTTCAGTAATATATAAGTACCTCAGTAACCGGTACGTATTCAGATATATATATGTACCTCAGTAACCGGTACGTATTCAGTAATAAATAAGTACCTCAGTAACCAGTACGTATTTAGTAATAAATAAGTACCTCAGTAACCGGTACGTATTCAGTGATAAATAATTACCTTAGTAACTGGTAAGTATTCACTAATAAATAAGTACCTCAGTAACCGATAGGTATTCATTGATCCATAAGTACCTCAGTAGCTGTAACGTATTCAGTAATCAATAAGTACTTCGGTAACCGTTACGTATTTAGTCAACAATCGGTACCTCGGTTAAACCTGTGCATATTCAGTAACCGAAAAAGTACTAGTAACCGTTACGTAGTTGCTAACAATAAGTTCCTCGGTAACAAATATGTATTGAGTAACCGATAAATACCTCAGTAACTGGTAAGTATTCAGTAAGTGATAAGTAACTCAGGCATTCAGTAACCAATAAGTACCTCAATAACCAGTAAGTACAGTAATTCATACATATTCAATAATTAATAAGTACCTCAGCTTTTATTAACCTATATACATGTATAGGCACCCAGTAAAAAGAAAGTTTATGATAACCGAAAGTACCTCAACAAACGGTATGTATATAATATGCAGTAACCGATAGATACCTCAGTAACCTTCAGTATTCTGTAAAATATCCGGTTATAAGTAAAAATACCCTAGTATCTGATTTTAAGTTCCAAATATACTGAAAGACATTCAGTTGCATGTCCCTATTTCAAACTGTTCATCATTTGTCATTTACTATCTAATATGTAGTTCACTATGATTTTATTTCATCTATAAGGACCTCGGAATTTTGATATCTTTGTTTTATCAACTTGTTTGTCAATAGCTTGGCCTCGTTTTAGAAATTGTTTCTCCTTTTACGTATAGCTGGCTCTTCAGTAACGAATCAACTGGAGACAAAAACCTTATATGCAGATAATAGGGGTACATGAACATGTATTATAATATTGATAGATAAGTTAGGGAAGTTGAAGATAATCCTTATGGCGTTTCAGTAATTAAGATAGAAGTAGTGAATGTTCGTCTCTTTCATATTTCAGTATCGGCCGTAGATGGACCTGTCTTGGATACTTTGTGATTGGATCTCTCGCTTGTCTGGGCGTGGCCGTATCTCAAATGATAGGTAAGCCACCTTAATTGTAAAAAAATAAATATTTTACGGGTTTTCGTGTCTGTGCGATTTTGTGTACACATTTCAAACCCAATGAAGACACATTGCGGAAATCTCTCTCTCTCTCTCTCTCCCCTTGTTTGTTCTATCTATCAATATTATCTGACAATGAAACAGCAGGGTTATTGACTATGTACTTCTGTAAGCCGGTGTTTCCATAACATGCACACAGTGATGACTTCTCACATGCTGCAAACGAGGCGGCCAGGAGCTTATTGATTTAGTGCTCATCAGGTCAAAAGGACATACATACTCATGTACGTAGTACTGTTGATAGTATCATAGAGAAACAATTGGACAACCAAACTTGCCATAGAGATGCAAGGTACAGAGAATAATAATCAATGTCAGTGAGTATACATGCATAAGAATACAACAAATATAGCACATAAAATTGTCATACTAAATTGTTCCCAAATGACTTTCCAATATGCGGCCACAGGAGTACTCCCTAGGTCGCTAAAGCAAGAATCTACATATTAGGATCAGAATATCGGTAAAGCTAAACGAGGTTCATTCATGAGTGTAATGTAAAAATGGCCGTTAATTTGTATGGCATATAAGTATTAGTCCACATGCTTTAATACAATCTGGACAAAAAGAACGTACTACAATTTCTTTTCAAGACGAAGAGTTATCAATTATTACAGTGGAACATTAGCAGCATAATGATGTATGATTCGATTTTTTAAATATTCATTGTATCATTTTTTTAAAGTTAATTTTCAATATTTTCAATGCTTTTACGATGAATATTTAATTTTTAAATGACCATTAGAAGTACTGTATGTGATGCAAGAAAAGGGTTAATGTTAAATTTTACAAGATTTAGATTTTTTATGAACTTGGATTTTTTTTCTTGTCAAATTGAATTCAACTTTATCCAGAATAAAACAGAAAATTTGCAGTGATGAACGCTTTCATTCCAAAAAGACAAGATGTTTCTGTGAAACACTATGCGCCCGTCGGCAACAAAGTTCGAAAAACCAATTTTAGCATATAGTAAAGGTCACAAGGTCATTGATCTTGGTGTCATTGAAAGAAAGTAATAAGTGGAGTATGCATACCAAATATGAAGTACCTATCCCAAATGGTTCAAAAGTTATGGCAAAGGTTTAAAAAGGCTATTTTTAGCTATACATGTAGGTCACAGTCAAGGCACAAGGTCATTGACCTTGGTGCCATTTCAAAGAACTTAATAAGTTGAATAAGCATTCCAAATATAAAATCTCTTACTCCTCTGATTCAAAAGTTATGGCAACAGTTCGAAAAAGCTATTTTTAGCATATAGGTCACAGTCTAGGTCACAGGGTCATTGACCTTGATGTCATTTGAAAGAGTTTTAGTGGATTATGCATACCGAATATAAAGTCTGTATCTCTCATGGTTCAAAAGTTTTGGCGAAGGTTAAAGCTGACAACAAACAAACAGATAAACAGACAGACAGGACAAAAACAATATATGTCCCGATCTATCGATCGGGGCGCATAATAATCCTGCCCCCCTTTTGAAAAAAAGATATTATAGAACGTACGTTTAATGCATCATTGGGTGCTGCAAGTAGCAAGGGAGAGTGGGAGACTTGTCAGTATAAGCTCTGTCATAGATGTGTTCTTAAAATAAAATCGCCAATCAAGGTGTTATCTTCCTTATGGCATCTAATGTCTCTGAAATCGGTTTAATTTTCTTGTTTTATAAACTTTCATAAAGGGGGGGGGGGGTATGGAATGAATACTAAGAATACTGTGTAGCCAAGATTGTTATATGAAAAAGAATTGCTAAGCATTAACTCTTTGTTTATAGATGTGGAAAAAGACCTCCAGAAAAATCTCATTAATGGATTTGCTCTGGCGGCCAAGTTTGGTGTTTCTGCTTCTTGGGCCGCCATTATGGCCTTCACAACGGAAGTGTATCCCACTGTCGTCAGGTAACGTACCCGGATACTCGGTTTGAACACTCAGCATGTCTGATTTGAAGCTTGCCTCTGTCACTCGGCTTGACGATTGTGCATTTGCTCGTTCGAATAGGTGATATCACGTTATCAATTTGAAAGAATGATATCACCTATTCAGATATCGCTAAAAACATGTCCCTTTGGTACTTTGATACATGTTGACAAGAACAGAGTTAGGATGAAGAGACTTAAAATATTCAATTGAAAATTAAGACCATGGACGTCTTGGTTAGATAGAAATTATGAGATCTAAATGGCAGAAATGTTAGTCATGATAAGACAATGAATAACATGCCGCTTTCTAAAATGATACTCATAACTGATAAGAGCTCAACATGAATTCAGATCTGTAGTTCCTGAGCATTTCTTATTTCTACTAACAGGAACATCGGCTATGGAACGCAGAACTCTATTTCACGGATAGGAGCTCTGATAGCTCCACAACTGGTTCTGGTGGTGAGTTAAACAGATATACTAGAAGATTTATCTCCATACCCTCTACATAGACCATATATGTCTGACTCGTCTTCTTCTTTTTTCAGAACAAAGAGACCCCAGGGGTTATGTACATCATTTGTTTTATTGTAACCCTGGTATCAGCCATCATGTGTCTTTTGTTGAAAGAGACAAAAGACAAAACGATCGGAGACAATTTGGAGGTTTCGGTAAAGCGGAAGTCGGACGATCGTGTGTGATACAGTTGAATTATGGGTGCATAAGTGATACAGTGGAATTATGGGAGCACAGAGGGGGTGGAGAGAAGGATCTGAGCATTTGACGCATGCGCGCATCAATGATATTATCGCGTTACACAATGTTGGATCAAGCATTGGCCCAAAATTACTCATATAAGTATTATTTGTCAAAATTACTCTATATCAAGATTTTGAGACGTGTAGTACTAGTGCCCATGCAGGCAGGTAGTATCATTTTTGAAAGCGGCCAGCCGTAAAAAATGACAATCTTTAAAAAATTTAATTATCATGATTTAACTTTGCTTCAACAAAAACTAAGGGATCAACGGCCGACATTTTCAATGGTAAAAAATTAATTTTGGTAAAAAAGGGCAGCGTCATTCCCTGTGCTGATCTACTGATAGTATGTGCCTAGTATTTCTGAATGTTAAGTGTTGAGGTTGATACCCTCGATAGCAACATGCAAAATATACAAATTAATACATTATCCGTCTGTCATACAATCATTATGACATTATGACACTTATCTAAATACCTAAATAAATTAGGTTTCAACCATACAACTACATTAGCTTCCATGCAACCATACAACTACATTAGCTGTCAACCATACAACTACACTCTCTGCCAACAATTCAACTACATTAGGTTTAAAACCATATGGACATGACATTAATATACAAATATTTGAAGCTGTACATACATTTATAGCAGCAACAAAACGTTTTATATAAACACTGTCATATCCATATATAGATGTAATTTTTATTTGTTAGAAGTACTCCCAAACCGGTACTACTTTGTATTTTGTCTCCCCCTGTAATTTGCCCTTTTTGTTATTTTGTTCATTCTATTTTTCTCTTCTGTATAATTTTCTATATATGACTTTTTCTGGGTTTTTTTCTATGTTACTTTGTTCACTTTTGTTTGTGTTTTTTCTCTCTTCTTTTGTACATTCTTTTATTATCACTATTTGTTTTGTACCTTGACCTAAATGTAGGGAGAGGGCTAAAATAGGCTGCGCCTGCTGCCCAATCCTATTCACAATAACACCAGTGAATAAAATATTGTTTAAATTAAAACCATATAACTACATTAGCTGCATAGGCGTAGTCACAGGGGGGGCAGCGGGGGCACTAGCCCCCCTACTTTCAGATGTGGGGGGGCAAGAGTATGTCTGTGCCCCCCCACTTTTTAAAAGAAGAACAAAATCACAGCTATTTTCCCCAACATTACCTTTACTATAGGAAATATTCATTGAATGGATCCCCCCCACACTTTTTGACCCTTGTATAATTGGATTTGAAAGTAACTTGCCTTTGAAAAAGTTGGCCTCTAATTCAACTACATTAACTTTCAACCATACAACTATACTAAATTTCAACCATATAACTATTTATCGAGTAAACAGTTCATAGAGATTAAAAAGGGATACATATATTATTTCCTACCACATATTATGATTGCATATATTTCATATAACTCTGTCATATTTTTAGACCTTTTTAATAAACTAACTATAATTAAAAACAGGATTGTTTTCATTGTGTGTTCTAACTACGAAAAACAATTAAAATGGGTTCTATGTGTTGGAGGGGGTTCTGTTGTAGTACCGGTATGTAGGAATTCTGTTTGGGTTTTATAAGGACGATACATGTATAACTTGTGTCAGAATTCGTCGCCCATGGATGGATACTTATTTATTCAACCTGTCAAAATACCCAACGATATAGCTGCATTCACAAGGGCAGTTATATACTCAGCTGCAAATAGATTAACCTTGATCTGTAAGCTAAATATTATACGTAGCTTCAATGTTGTAGTCACTGTATGCTATACACTTGTTGTACTCTATCATAATTTAAAAGATGTTCCGACTCCATCAAAGATGTACGAAGAAAAAGTTGAAGGTTTATAACAGATATACATGTATTATAATTGTGTGGCTTGCCGTACAGTGTTTTTAAGCTCGGGCATGTTGCTGGGGTTTAAGGACACGTTAATTAACACATCATGGCCATTTACTTGCCTCTCTAAGCGTTCACAGCACAAGTAATCTATAGTTAATGGGGTTTTGGTTGTAATTATGTACAGAATTAAAAGAGCCTGCTGAGTTCACCTGAGTCAATCTGAAATAGGGTAACCAAGTCCTGGGCGCGGGGTACTAATTGTAGGTTTCGGTGTAAAATGAGAACAAAGATTAACAAATTGAAAGAGGAATATTGTCTATAACCGTTTGCTCTAACAGATATTTAAAAGAAATAAACGTAGAATCTTCACAAGTCTTATATTCCATAATCCTGGGCTCTGGTTCTATGCCATGTGCAAGACTATCTCTTTCTTCGAAAGGAATATTCTCCACTATTTCCTCATAATACTTGACATATATCTTTATTTAGAGCCCAAACTTGAGATACCTCTCTAGTGTTAATTTATGCTGTATATATATATTTCTGTCCAAATTTTCGTATACTTAATTTCTGAATAAAAAATTTTTGAGAATGATCACTTTTTTATCGTCACATTTTATATTTCACTGTCTTTTTTTCCCTGTTGATGGTTGGAAATTTTAGGCAGTACCCAAGGTTACTGATATCATCAGTTTTTGCAAAGAAGCTTTCTTTTTGGGACTGTATCTTCATTCCCAAAACACAAGATTTGAATAAAGGATAGGATAGGACACGAATATGTTTCCTCTCATGGTACATGATCAGTATGCTCAGTTACATAAAATTCTGGAAAATTTATATCTGTAACCATAACAAAAGAATCAAGAACCAAAAAGCGCGCGCCCAAAGAAAATAAACGGAAGATAACTCTAACTCGGTGCATACTGAATGTCAGCATGGTAAATATAAAGCGAGAAAAAAGACGTTAAAAATGATTTAATTTTCGCCTTTTTGTGGATTTTTATTAGGTTCAAGGCATGCACAACCTCAAAAAGGTTTGTTTTAATTAGTTTGGTAGTTATTTTCAATGCAAATCCTTTTGTATTCTTTAAAACCGCTTCGAATTCGGAGCGATTCTCATTCTGTAATTTTTTGCTACATTACGATAAAAAGATTATTTATACATGACTCTGATTGCGAGTGAATGGGAAGTGAGGGCTTGTCCTGACACATAGATTATTCTAAATACATGTTAGTGACAAACCATGGATAACGGTTTTTTTTTTATATAATTGTGTTTTTTTTTCAATCAGGTAAAATGAACCGTCTTTACCAAAGCATGTCTAATGACATTCATAGACGTCTTTCTTTGTAAGGCAGATCGACTTAATTTCAAGACATATCATTCATAAACGACTAATTATCGAAATGTCCATATTTTTTAGGGGCACTTTTTCATATACAGAATAATATAAAATGACATCCTAAAGAGACATATATTGCTTTATATTTACATTTCCAATGTCTTTGTCCGAGATAAAATTACCAAATGTAAATGTACTTTATTTCCCCATCAGTGTATTGGCGCGGTTCCAAAAAAACACGTGCAGGGCGGGACAAACAGCTAGACAGAAGCAGGGCTTTGTGCGCGTGGATTGGCCGAATCAAAGCATATAAATATAAGGAATAACTGTCAGATTTTTCAATTTCATGAAGATGATCAATCGATTGGCTTGCGTGATAATTTAATGCATAAATGCCTTCGGCGTTTATGCAAACTATCACGCAAGCCAATCGATTAATCACTTCATGAAATCGAAAAATAAGACAGTTATTCCTTAAATACAATACTCTCAAAATGCTTGTTTACCTTAAAAAGGGTGTAGATCTATATGTTTATGTTTATTCACCAATCAAGGGCCCACGGGGGGCATGAACAAATTATTACTATATGATAATATTGATTACAATTCTATATTATAGATGTATAATGTAACATGACTAGTGATTAGGTTTGACATTGAGAAGTGCATCACCACACTTGATCAAAAGCATAGAAAACCATAGGATGATAAAAAGAAAACACAATTTGATAAGTGTGATTCTTTTACTGAAAGGCCGATTGTTTCTCTGAACCAGGCGAGCTATTATTTTTGTGATGGTGTACGAAACTTCAAAGAATGGATTTTTTTCCTTCCTTGTGTCTTCCACATAAATTATTGAATCGTCAAAGCTGTAATGCTTTAATATAATTTTGATACACATATGTAGGTAGCAGAGCAAAAACGAGAGGCAAGATTCAAGGTCAATTATGAAATGTTTAATTTACGGTTGTCACATTGGGGGAGGAAACAAATTAAGAAAAAAAAACAGTAGAGAGCTGGAATCGATTAAAAATGTCAACACAGGAATGTGAAAACTATGGATCTTATACGAGGGGAGAGTCATTAACTTGAACAGTTCATATTTTTTATGGTGTCGGTGCGGCGATTTCAAAGCTGTTTTTAAATGACAGAAGAGACATGGCAGGTCTACACAAGATGCGTTTTTAAAACGCAATTACGTACAAATTTAAATAGCGAGTAAATATAGTTTAAAAGTGGCAAAGCCAGTTGCCCCTGAATTTTTTATAGAGCATATGTTTCTGAAAGTTCTGGGATAACAATATCCCAGAGGATGTTGCAAACGCTCAAATTTATCCTCATCACTAAATTTCAAAGCGGGGCGAGGCGCCAAGGGATCCGCCTATGCTTTAGACACGTGATGTTGGAAGCAAACCGTGTCAGGCATTATTTACATCTGTATGTGAAAAACCTACACGACCTATCGTGCCCCCATTTCTCCTGTTCCATTTCTCCTATTTGTATATAGCTAGCTAACTCATGTCACAATAGGCTTCCTAAAACATGTAAACAAAAAATTGACTCGGTAGAGTTAATGGGGTTAGTTACACAACTTTGAAGTTACGCAAGCACTGTATTCAGCGGATTTGCATTTTGCATTTGTGGAAATATCATATAGCAGGTAGGGCGTAATTTAATACGTTAAAGTTACTAGTAATCGTATTAACTTCATTATCGTAAGCTTTTAATATGCTAGTAAGCAGATTAGTAAGTTGGTAAGATCTGGTTCGATGGATAATTATTTGTGAGGTACCATCGTTGTTAGAACTATAAATGCATGTATTGCTAGTATATTGTTTAACGTTGTTAAAGCTTGAAAGAGAGACGTATTATATCTATATGTTACGTCACATCTGGCAGCGATGAAAAACCATGGAAAACGCTGCTCAAATTGAAGTCCGTTACTAAGAAACCGAATCTTGAGTAAAATCGAAGATCCAGTTTACGGTATGAAAAAAGATAATCAAATATTGATAGCTTCAATGATGCATTTTCTGGAGGTTCAAATAAAAGTTATTTGAGGAGAACACCATCACGCTCCGGTAGAAAAACTGAAAGTTTTCGCTATGATTTTTTTCTCTCTCCCTGCGCTCAACTTTCACAGGTGTCATTTAAAATTTCAACACAAAAGAAAAAAAGAGTATTTTCCCATCATATATGTTCAGTTCATTTCATATTATGAAAAAGAGATACGACGTACGTGATACAATTATTCCATACAGATATCGCGAGTTTATCTCATTTTTTTAATTTCTGCACCAGGAAAGCTATCCTTGAGCTCTGTCTAGTTTGACTGAAAATGAATTGTTCTGTCAATTCATGATTGACACGTTTTTCATGAATGATTTTCTATGTAAGTTATACGTTGACAGAATTGCAGAGGCGAAGAGCGATAAGATCTCGCTCTGGACGCGGTTTTAGACGATCTTTGACAAGTAAGAGGATATGAAAAGGCCCGGAATGTGGGAGTTTTGTGGCAGACTAAAGGAGGCACGCCTGAAAACCCCTTTACCTTTATACTCATATGAGAGAAACAAGCATTATTTGTTTACTAGTTTATGGTAAAGTATAAGTATTGTAAAATAGTACTAATAGTAAAATAGTACTACGACGTACTGTAATATAGTTCTCGTACTAGGACGCGATTTTCGACTCTAATCACTCTTCATACAGTGTGCAGTTCTAAAGAAATGCATGGTTTAAAGCAGTTCGAATTCTGTCGATCCGTAGAAACCTGTGGGGGACGGGGGGGGGGGGTGTCTCCAGTAATGTCTTAGAAGATACCCGCAAGCGAAAATGGTTGGTTTTGTCCCAAATTAATTTGCTTCCTACTGGCCTGTCAAGTAGCTGATTTGAGCTATGCTTGTATTTTATATTTTGTTTGTATATATTTTTCAGTTCATCTATTCAGAACAAAGTATATTTTTAACAAAAAGCTATCATTGATTATTTTAAAGCGTTTGTCTTTAAAATGAAAATTTTATGACAAACTCGTCGGTTGCAGAAAAGTTTGTTTCATTGATTAGCATTATGTGCTTACAGAAACCACACATTTTACAGTGTTCAAAGATGACATTTCCTAGTCTGAATGCGTATGCTCCAATTCTATCAAGTCAATTCATAACTCGATGTTTTGCAATTGTAATTAAAAAACACTTATGTTCGGTATAAGCAGAGCTCCACATTATATTTGTCCCCAGCTTGAAACGTTGGGGATATTAATTTGGGTTTGTAGTCCGTCCGTCCGCCCGTCTTTCTGTCTGTCTGTAACGCTTTCGTTTCCACACGATATCTCGAGATCCCTTTAAGCTTTTGCAATGCAATTTAGCATAGCAACTCCCTATGGACTAAAGAAGAACCCTATTGATTTTGAGGTCAAAAGGTCAAAAGTCAAGGTCATAAATAAGCAAATTCTGTCTGTTATAACACTTTCGTTTCCACACGATATCTCTAGAACCATTTGTAGTACATTTCAAGTATATTTCTGTACTTATTTCAAAATTCATCTAAAAATTCATCGCTTTATTCCAAAAAAGTAAATAATATGTACAATAAGTAATAAGAAAATTTCAAGCTTGTAATAAAAAGCATTTATTGACAGCTATTGCAATGAAGTTTTACATAACAACTCCCTATGGCCTAATGAAGACCCATATTGATTTTGACGTCAAAAGGTCAAAGTTCAAGGTCGTAAATTTATACATTCTCTCTGTGTGTAACACTATCATTTCCGGGCGATATTTCAAGAAGATTTTGAGCTTATGCAATGTAATTTTATACCAAAACTCCCTAGGACTTCTCTCACCCCTCTCAAAGTGCCCCGCCCCGTTTGTTTTATTAGTATTTATAGTATTACATGTCGCTATTTTTAGCACAGGGGCATGAGGAGAGTTATTGCGTATAAAACAGGTTTTCGGCGGACTTTATGCTCTTATTACATCTATTAGAACTGTTTAAAAAAGGCTAAATAAATCAAACACTATGGATTGTGTAAAATTTTGACGACCCTTTTCCTGTGACATATTTTGCCTAGGAGTTATTCCCCTTAGCCGCCATCTTGTAGGGCAAAGTAGTGAATTTACCTCTTTGAGCAACCAATTTTAAATATGCATGCAAGAAAAGTGTGTGGGAAAATATTTACAATTTTAAAATTATGAATTATTAGAAGCATTGAGAAACGTATGTTCATAAGAAAAAAAATGTAATCTTTACCTCATTAACCAGTGTAAGAAATTGAACTTGGTTGAATAATGAAGGGATCTGGATATGTTGCCCTACAATATGGCGGCCAAGGGAATAACTCCTATAGACAAAATATGTCTTAGGAAAAGGGTCTATACCGAACATGAATATATACATGTATGTGACTTCAATTCTGCATATACATGACTACATGAAGGCGATTCCGTGGTCTAGTGGTATGTCTCTCGCCTCATATGTGAGAAGTCCCGGGATCGAATCACGGTCGATCGTTTTTTTTTAAATACTTTTCTTTTTTTTTTTTTACTAAATGATAGTATTCAGCATATGAAATGAAAAATTTATGAGGTTATAAAATCATCATTACAGTGTGATAAATATTCCATATAAAAAGAATCTTCTATACACATAATAAAGAATAAGCAATCAAATCTTTATATGCATATTGACATAGATGTATTTTATTTGCTTCAGTATACATGTATACATTTAATAATTCTACAAATTCAGTCAGGGGGATCCGACTTTTTCCCTAAGCGGGGGACACGAATTCTCTGAATTAGGTTGTTTTATATCAGACTAACATAATTACCGAACATTTTAGCTCACTTTTTGATACTATCCTGTGCCTCAGCTGTTGTCGGGTTATACTGTGAGTCACCTAATCAATATTTATTGTGCTACAATGTATATCATTTGATTGTGACAGATGAATTTACAAACAGTATAAGCTTACGATAACCAGTGTTGATTTTGGTCCAGCTAGGGTTCAGGGATGAAAAGAAGGAAATTTATAAATATGCATATATTGGAAAATATAGATTTTGACAATAACAATATCCAAATACATAATCGGTAGTCCTTGCTCATCTTGATGATTATAAAAACAAAATTATGAAAAACGTGAATATTTGATTAAGTTAGCATTGAAAACACGTCATTTTGCGTGCCCTTTGGAAGCTTTAGGACCTAAAAGCAATTATCGTAAACCTTACTGTACAACCATACAGCAACTAGCAAGTTGGCGATATAAAATTGACAAAACCACTTTAATAAATGTATTTACAATTCATTTCATAGAAAATTCTGCAGCTGTATCAAATAAAATTAATTTTTTTCCTAGCCATTGACCCCTCGACATCTCGTTCTTTGTTAATCTGATCTACTCTGAATGTTGAACTTGGATATTTTTATGGTAAAAATAAAAATCCATAATCACATTACAAGCCTGCTGGCTTCAATGTTGACTTAGTTATATTTGTATCTATTATCATATGTCTCTATTAAGGTAAGGTTTGCGTCTCCCTCCAACTCATATTTTTTTTAATATGCATACATGCTACATATCAATTTTTTCAGGGAGATTAGCTTCATCATTCAATATGATTTTCAAAGATATTGCCCGTCTCATTTTTTGAGTAAAAGACGCCAAATTTAACGTATTTCACATTTCACCTCGAATATTATTTTCATTGAAAAAATTGATTTTTTTTTTATAAATTTTCAAACTTTTATAATCAAAATGACCGGAATTAGTATAATTCATGCTTCTATTATTTAAACTTTTAATTTTCCTTTATCAAAAATGTGAAAATTTGGGTAAAAAAGAAGATTTTTCAATTTTCCTTGATAAAGTGAAACCGTTGCCACGGCAACAAAAATATAAAAACCAACGTTTTACATATCTATCAATTCCATCAAAATCCATGAAGTTATTAATTTGATCATTTTCATTAATTTGAACTAAAAAAATATGTATGTCCCCAATATTATTTCCATGGAAACAGGGGCTATATTATGGGTTCGGAACATAAAAATCAGGCTTTTTCTACACTTTTAAAGACAACATTGATATCACCTTGTCGTGGTGAATGTTAAAGACTAAATGTTATTTTTGATATTGTTTTTAGGCATAAATTGGCCAAAAATATTCAAAATAAAACGCCTCCTGTGCTACATGATGGCCTAAAAAATTATTCCATGGAAGAACTCTAGTATTTATGGCAATCTTTACATCTGAATATTTTGATGAAATTGTCCATGAATTATATTGCAACACCTTTAGAAGTACAAGTATATGTATATAAACATACTTCAGAACATGTTGCAACTAAACCAATTAAAAGCCTATGAATTTGACCTCATGCTGATTAGTTATTCCAACATGTAGTAACTTCTAGACATCTTTGTAGCAAAATATCTTTATTCAGTTATGGTTGGTGACTGTCATTATACATGTATGCCATTTTTTGAGTGAAATGTTGTAAGCATTGCATCCACGAAGCTGCTGTTTTTATAATTAAATTATTTCTTTACTTCGAAGAGTAGAAATGCTATCTTTAAAGTAATGTTTGTTTGCCCTCTCTTGACTCAGGGTAAAATTATTGGGTCAGTAGGTGAGAAAATCTTCAACAACATTTT